TTTTACCCAAAAATATTAGGTATAATAACCAGTACAAGTTTAAGCGTCAAGAAGAAACATAAAAAGTACCCGCTTGACGAGCGAAAGCAGTCACATTGTTTCTTCTTTCTTTTAAGTTTGTTATTATAATTAACCGCCCGATTCGCGAAACCAGTCAAAATTAAACTAAAATAATATTATAGAATCTTACTAATAAGTGAAATACATGATTCAATTACAAGGTGTGTTTCAATATAAACCCAATTTTAAATTTATGGGAAATGTGCCATAAAATGGTCCATTCGAGCCAAATAAGTATGCAAATAAGTGAATAAGACCACAAAGTTTAATCCAAATACAGTCCATTACTAAAAAGAAGAAAATTCAATAAAATTAATTAAAAATATTAGTGCGCGTAATAAGCACAACATAATAAGCAAAATTTAAAAACACGTGTGATTAGCAGCATGAAGCATTAAAGTGATCTACTTAAACCAAAATATAACAAAGTGCTTAAAATATAATTGATAAACATATAAACATTTGAAATTAAGCAGTGCAGTTGAATATAAATCCAAACAAAAGTGAAAATTTAAAAGTTTGGAAAGGATTCAGTCGGCGGCCATTAGCCATCGTCATCATTCTCGTGAGCGTAAGAAGCACCCTTGAAGACCGAAGCGACAGCGCACGCAACCGAGCCGCCCCCGAACGCTACAGTGTGCAACCGCGCGTTTGCAGACACGAGATTTCGCAACCCAGCACCGAGCATCCCGGAGCAAGGACATCGCGTACGACAGGGCGCATGCAGAAGTCAGATATACCCGAGGATCCAAGTTACAACCCAGACATTGAGGTACGCTTCCAAACTATTACTTATATTAGAGGCGCCATCTTCCAAGGGGATGGAGAGTTCAAATTCACCAATTAGTTTAGGCTTGACTTTTGAATTTTATAGTTATTCGATTATAGTTTTTTCACAAACATTTTTCTTTTATATTTCGTATATCATTTATATTTTATATATCTTTTATATTTTATCAATCATTTTTTTTCGTATTTGAATTGTAAAGGCTATCACATCACAATGGAAAATCAAAATATTTTAATTGAAAAGCGGAGATTAGCAAAATCCAAAATAACGCAAACACAAAATTATATTTCAAAATGTACTTTCGAATTCAGTATTTCGGAACAAAACGCGCGTAAGCAGCTTCTCAATGACGCATTTAACAATTATAATGAAGCACAAGAGGCGTTGGAAATGATTAATTTAGATGAATTCGAGGGCGATCGCGACGAGATAGAAACGCAATATTGCAAGATTTTGTCTACAATAGATAATTTATTGGCCGGTTGTAGACAAAGTTGCATGCGCGCAGAATGTGTCTGAGTCAGCTTCAGCTAAAGTTCAGCTCCCTCAAATTCATTTGCCGAATTTTGATGGAGAGTTTTCTAAATGGCCGGAATTTAGAGACATGTTTTCGAGTCTAATTATAGAAAATAAATTATTAACAAAATCTCAACAGTTACACTATTTAAAAAACTCATTACAAAGAGAAGCCGCCAATTTAATTAAAAACCTATCAATCACAGAAGCGAATTTTCAAATAGCATGGGATACGTTAGTGGGTACCTATGATAATAAATTGATTTTAATTAACGCGCAATTGAAAGAAATTGTAAATCAACCACAAAATAGAGATCAAAAGTCACTAAGACATTTTTTATGCAAATCCCGACAGCACATATCCGCTATTAAAAACGAGAGACTCTCGGTAGAGCTCTTGAATCTTATATTTATATTTATATTAAAGGCAAAGTTAGACATGGATACCCAAATGGCGTGGGGTGCATCCATTTCACAAAATAATCTACCGTCATTAGACGAATTTTTTTCCTTTCTAGAAAAGCGTTGTGCAACTTACGATATGAACCGCGAGCAACGATCAAATATAAATATTCCGGTTCAGAGAATTCATTTCGCTGCACCTATCAAACAGAAATGCCTCTTTTGTAATAAAGAGCATTACCTCAATCAATGCGAGGAATTTTTAAAACTACAAGTAAATGATCGCGCTGAATTTGTACGAAAGACGCAATTGTGTTTTAACTGCCTTAAATCCTCGCATGTAATATCACAATGTCATAGTAAACGCAAATGTTCGTTTTGCAAAAGGCGTCATAATTCTGTTCTACATAGGTCTGAATATTCGTTAAATATAGCAACACCCAGTACAAGCACTATGACCATGATTGCAGAAGCGGAACAAAAACAAACCCTTTTACCCACAGTTCTAGTGCTTGTATCAAACGGTAGTACTATATCCACAGCGCGCGCTCTTCTATCTAGACTCTGGTTCGCAGATAAACATTATTTCAAAGTCTCTAGCAGAAAATTTAAAATTAACCTATAAAAAAGCAAATATAACGGTTGGCGGGATAGGCGGTATAAATGCCAATGTTTTAGGTTCGGCAACTCTACAAGTCGCATCTAGGATTAGCAATTATACTAAAACATTAGATTGTACAGTTATGCAAAACATTGCGAATAATTTACCGGGAGTACGCGTTGACATATCAAATTGGGATATACCGAAAAATTGCATACTAGCCGATCCCAATTTCAACTCGCCGGGACAAATAGATTTAATATTAGCTGCAGAAATATTATTTGAAAGTTTAAAAAATGAGCAAATGAAATTGAAAAACAAAATAACATTATTTAACACTAGTTTTGGTTGGTCATTTTGCGGTCCGGTGGGATATAAGACTTTTTTTGCGCACGTAGGGTTAACAACCGAGGAAAATATAACTGACCAATTAAAACAGTTTTGGGAAATAGAGGAAATAATGATAGGTGTATCTTGTCGCAGGAGGAAGTACGAGCAGAAGACATATTTGAACAAAACGTCAGTAGGGATTCAAATGGTAGATTTGAAGTCGCGTTGCCATTTAGAAGTGATCCGCGTATTTCTCTTGGGTCCACTTATTCACAAGCGTACAAAAGATTCATGAATTTGGAAAAAAGATTAACAAATAATAAAAAACTTGCGGCAGATTACGACAATTTTATAAGAGAATACATAAGATTAGGCCATGCAACAAAGATTGACAAAATTCAAATCGAAATTGAAAATCGTAATTTAGACAAACATAATTATTATTATTTGCCACACCACGCGATAGTTCGTGATGCTAGTTTAACAACAAAATTAAGAGTAGTTTTTGACGCTTCGGCAAAATCTTCAAATGGTCTATCTTTGAATGACATACTGCTACCGGGACCGCGTTTACAAAAAGATTTGTTTACCATATTAATTAGATTTAGGACATATAGATATGTATTTACGGCGGACATAGTCAAGATGTTTCGTCAAATTAAAATTAAATTCGAACATCAGGACTACCAGAGATTTTTATGGCGTGAGGCGCCCGGAATACCTGTAGGATGCTATAAGCTAAATACCGTAACGTATGGCACTAATTGCGCGCCATATTTAGCAATGAAATGCCTTGAAAAGTTAGCTATAGATTATAATGAAATATATCGAAAAGCGTCCAAAATTCTACAGTCAGATTGTTATGTGGACGATATAAACTCCGGTGCAGACACTTTACAAGAAGCAAAATTATTAATAACCGAAATTAACAATCTCCTAGCCCAAGGGGGGTTTGAATTGCATAAGTGGTCAAGCAATAATATAGAATTAATTAATGATAAGAATATAGGTGAAAATATAAATGTAGGGTTTGACAAAGAAAATATAATTAAAACTTTAGGGGTTATATGGCAACCTACATCTGATAATTTTAAAATTTATAACAACGTTTTAGCTATAGACAATATAAAAACCAAACGAAAAAATTTAGCATCTATAGCTAGTATATTTGACCCGTTGGGATTCATTACTCCGGTAGTCAATTCCAAACTTATTATGCAACAATAATGGAGGCAAAATAAAGATTGGGACGAACCGGTTACGAACAATTTATTAAAAAACTGGCAATTATTTTCGAAACAATTAGAGATTTTACAGCAGCTAACAATACCTCGGCAATTGAATCTTTTTAAAACAATAGAAAAACGCTCAATTCACGGTTTCGCGGATGCTTCAATGAAAGCATATGGTGCTTGTTTATATTTATGCGTAACCTATCAGGATGGGACATGCTCTTCAAAATTAATATGTTCAAAATCGCGTGTAGCACCGCTGAAACAAATTACCTTACCGCGTCTAGAGTTATGTGCCGCGCTATTGTTAGCACGCTTATTTAATAAGGTAAGCCATAGTTTAGAATACGTGATAAAAGAAAACGTACTGTGGAGCGATTCCAGTATAACGTTATCATGGCTAAATTCCGAGCCTTGTACGTGGCAAATCTTTGTTGCAAACAGAGTATCGGTAATTCAAAAACTTACATTGCAAGCCACTTGGAGACATGTTCCTTCCAAAGAGAATCCAGCGGATTTAATAAGTCGCGGAATCACACCGTTAGATTTACAAAATTCAGCCTTATGGTGGAACGGTCCTGATTGGCTCGCAAATTCGAATAATTGACCAAAAAAGTTTACAATTTCCGATAATATAGAATTGCCAGATAAAAGAAAATCAGTTGTGACACTGGTTGTAACACAAGAAAGCTCTTTTAATTTAATTTATAATAAATTCTCAAATTTTACAAAAATGATTAGAGTTGTAGCATTTTGTTCTAGATTTATTTTAAATATAAGAAAAATAAATAAAAATAACAAAAAATTAGGTCCGCTCGAAATTTATGAATTAAATGAATCAAAATATGCAATTATACGGCAATTACAAAAAGAAGTTTATAATAAAGAATTAACTAAGTTAAATATTAATCAAGACTCGTCCAACGCTTTTGAAAAATCATTGCTAAAACTGAATCCGTTTGTAGGTGCGAACGATTCATTGCGAGTGGGCGGGAGACTACGGCGTGCAAATATTCCATACGATCAAATGCACCCGATAATTTTACCAGCAAAGCATCCAATAATAACAATGATTATTAGGCAAGAACATTTGCGTTTACTACATGCAGGAACCCAAACTACTCTCGCTAATATAAGACTTAGATACTGGCCTATAAATGGTAGAAGAGAGGTTAAAGAGGTTATTCATAGTTGCGTCATTTGTTATAAATTCAGAGTAACAACACAAACGCAATTGATGTCCGATCTACCACTAAGCAGAATTAATCCTGTAAGACCTTTTTTAAACGTAGGGACCGACTACGCCGGCCCAATTATGCTAAAATCAACTAGATTGCGCAAGGCTCCTTTAATAAAATCGTACATTGCGCTTTTTATTAGTTTTGTTACCAAGGCGATACATTTAGAGTTAGTAACAAGCTTATCCACAGACGCTTTCATTGCCGCCTTAAGACGTTTCATATCGCAACGCGGTCGCTGCGCCACGATTCATAGTGATAATGGTACAAATTTTGTAGGAGCAAAGCACCATTTACACGAACTTTTTAAATATTTTAAGAATGAACAAGAAAGAAACAAATTAATTGAAGCCGTATCAGTGGAGGGCATCGAATGGAAATTCATTCCAGCTCATGCTCCACACTTTGGGAAGGGGCTATAAAATTAGTTAAATTGCACATACGCAGAGTAATAGGCAACACAATATTAACATTTGAAGAGTATTACACATTTCTAACCCCAGTAGAAGCCATAGTAAATTCGCGTCCATTGATAGCTGTTTCCGATGACGTTACGGATTGCGGATACTTAAGCCCGGGACACTTTTTAATTAATGATGTGATAGCCTCATTTCCTGAGCCCCAATCAAAATGTAATAATGATATATTGAAATGTTGGCAAGATGTCAATAACTTAAAACATATATTTTGGAATCGCTGGTCCACCGAATATTTGTCACAACTACAAGGTCGAAAAAAATGGTACAAAACCAACCCCAATCTCAAAAATGGGACAATTGTTTTAATTGAAGGGGATAATACTCCACCTCTCCAATGGAACATCGCGAAGGTAATTGAGACAAAAAAAGGACCAGACGATAGAATACGAGTTGCAATAGTTAAAACTGCTAAAGGTTTGTATACCAGACACCAGTTAATACACAAAATTATTAATTAACGTAATTATAAGATTATTTCAATTTCAAATTTCAAATTATTTAGATATAACATAATTATTCAATTTTAATTAATAAACAATTAGTTGATAAGTTTTATTTCATTTGATCATAGCATTAAGGATTAGAGTAAATAATAATAATTATATTAAATTTTAATAAAGTATATTAAATTGAAGTTTTAGAAAACATTTTTGAGTTTGATCATTATATAATTAATAAGTTTTATATGTTTAATACGTTTTAGTTCAAATTTTAATTTTGATCAAATATCTCAAGGCCTGACATAAGCCATGGTTGTTGGCGGTTGGGGCCCCAGAATGGAGCGAATTGCTGCTCCAATGTTCAAAAACTGCAACAACGCACAAGCAGAAAGCTGTTCGCTTCATACAGGGAAATAAAAAACATTTTACCCAAAAATATTAGGTATTATAATAACCAGTACAAGTTTAAGCGTCAAGAAGAAAGCACATAAAAAGTACCCGCTTGACGAGCGAAAGCAGTCACAATTCTTTTAAGTTTGTTATTATAATTAACCGCCCAACTCGCGAAACTAGTCAAAATTAAACTAAAATAATATTATAGAATCTTACTAATAAGTGAAATGCATTATTCAATTACAAGGTGTGTTTCAATATAAACCCAATTTTACATTTATGGGAAATGTCCCAGGATTTTTTTCCTTTACGTGAATATTATTTTATTATGATTAAATTGTAGTAAGTAGTTTTGTTTGTAGTTTTATTTATATACAAAAACGTTAGTAAACGGGCTGCAAGTGTTACTAGAGACTCAAAATATCAACTTTTAAAATATGAAATGTTAATATGAAAATGCACTTTTTGGCATATTTTTCTCAAACACGGTGCTATGAAAGATCTCATTTGTAGAATTATATACTCATCGGTATTTATAAAACATTTTCTAAGTTATATTATTTTTTATTTATGTTATTTAAATTCAGAACCTAAATGTGGTGTCGATCAAATAGACATTTTGTCGAATAACATTTTCCCCGTTTTAATTTTCCAGAATTTATCGAAGAATAGATAGTAATATATGAAGATCCGGGGTTAAAAAGGTCCACCACCGATGTGTCAAAAATCAGTAAAGTCAAAAACAATATTTGAAAGTAGAGAAAAAAAGATGTATAACCAGCTATAACCTTGATTTGAAAATGGTAATCTTTCAAATGGGGAAGATAAACGGTAATCTTTGAAAATCCATAATAAAAGTGTTTTCTTCCATTGGTAGTTTTTTAGCATTAATTAAAAATGTAATTATTTTGTAAAATACCTTTGAATTTATAATAAGGCTGTGAACCTTTTTGCCACCTGCCCGTTTCAAATTTCCCCGCCTATAGGGTAAAAAGGTCCAGAAATTTTTAAAACACATCAAAAAAGCACATTTTTACAATGATGAAGTAAAAGGCAGTTTACTAAACGTAGTCAGATAATTGTTTGTTTGATATGTGTTATTTGTTGTGATATAATTGTTATGGTTTTCACAATATAGTTTTTATTTGCTCAAAGTCAAATTGGACCTTTGTGCCTCGCCCTGCCCTACACATGTACTTTTTATTAAATTTACTTTAATTTATCGAATGTTACTTGAAACTTTTCAATAAGCAGAATTAATTCATTTTTTATCTCTTCTCGCAAAAATTTGAAAATTTTGTATAAGCTTAGTAGTATTATTTACAATTATACACAAAATCCAGAATCCAAAAAGAATCTGAAAAACTTGAAACGTAATCAATAAGTCGAAAGACCAAAAAAGACTTGGATGGATTATACTATGTTTTCTATAGAAAGTGTATAAATCTTCCAATTTGATTGTATTGACAAAATATAGACAAACTAGTAAGGTTTATTGTTTTTATAATACTGCATTGTATATAGCTTTCAAACAACACATTCTTATACACTTAAAGTATTAATAATTTTGATCTAGAAATTGTTTAGAATATACCTTACTTAGCAAAACAACGTTTGCCGGGTCAGCTAGAATATATATATATATATATATATATATATATATATATATTAGGGTGGGCCAATTTTTTGCATATTGAGGCACCTCGCTAATTTAACTTTTTACATCATTTGAAACAATATTGTAAAAAAAAGCATAACCCGCAAATGAATTTAAAGTCAGCGAAAAATTTAAAACATTATTTAATTTAAAGGAAAAATTGAAAAATCTCATGAAAATTATATTATGACATATATCGAGTTATTCATCATTTTATTCGTAATTTTATTCTGCATCTTTCGTACGAACAAAGTTTTTTCGTATCTTTTACCGTTTCGGAGAAAATCGATAAAAACTATTGAAAACTTGCATTAAAAAATCGGATTTTCTTCTTAAAAAAGAAGAAAAAACAATATAACTACAAATAAATTTGTTTTATATTCATTGAGATCTATAAAAATCAATAAATACATATTTCAATACAAAAGTTTAAAAAAAAACAAAAAAAAAACACCTAAAAACTCAATAATTCACTATAATTCGTATTGTCCATATATATAAAACTGTTTGAACATCTAAAAAATTTTCGAAAAAAATTTGTCTATCATAAGGGTTCGCAGTTCGAAAATTTTCCAGACTTTTGTCTTGACGATTCACACCGTAACCCGGAGCGACGCTTCGCCGCAGGTCAAATGCACATCGCTTGGGACTCAGTCTTAATACTTACGGTGTGGCCGCGCGCCTACTATAGGGGGATATATCGCGTCGTATGTGATGCGATCAACTTTTGGCAAAAGTTCGCTGTGTTGTTCAGGCAGGTTTGAATATTATTCCCCGGTGTATTTTATACATTATATTCGATACTTTTAGTCTGTCAATTATATAGCGGCGTTACTTTTAATAATGTCGTAGACCGTGTTTGGAATTATATACGTCGTATATGTTCGGATATCGGTTTACGGCCGGGTTCTGGACCTTATTTATAAGTGTTCAACCATACTGTACAGCATATCCGCGGGCATGTGTCGTTGACGCAAAGACTCTTATGCGGAAAATAAAATATACAAATGCAATCAACTCAATACTCTCCGAGCGAGAATAAAAGTGAGTTATGACGATGAATTTGCCCCGAAGTTTCAATCTAACGAAGGGTAAAGAGACTAAATAAACCGGGTCGCAGACCGCTAATGTTATATACGGACCGCCGTTTCGACGGTTGTTTAAGGTCTAGCCTCTGTGTAAGCGCAGAATTTATAAAAGTTGCCGGGTTTAGACCGTCGTGAGACAGGTTAGTTTTACCCTACTGATGAATTGTCGTTGCGATGGAATTTCTGCTCAGTACGAGAGGAACCGCAGGTTCGGACGTGGTGCAAAGCTACCATCCGTGGGTATGCCTGAACAACTCTAAGGCCATATCCTTTCTAGATAACAACGATATTTTGAGGAGTCTCGTGAGTCAAAAGACTCAATACAATGTGATTTATTAGGTATTTGGCGCACGCCGTTTATCGCACGAGCCATTTTAGCCGTTTTATAGCGGTCGATCATGGTTCACTAGTTCGATGTAGAGACTCGGAATCGTTTATAGACGACTTTTAGGTACCAGGCGGGATGTTGTATTTGGTAGAGCAGTTACCACGCTGCGATCTGCTGGAACACAGCCTTTGGCTTGGGGATTCGTCATGTTGGCTTGGCGTCACCCCACGCTCTTAGAGCATAAGCCTTAAGCCGTCGCATTGCAGTATGCCACATTCAGTATGACTTGACCCTCAGAAAGTTGTACATATTGTACATGTGATACTTCTTTGGTATCTACTTAGCTATTTTGTACAACGTGCCTAATTCAGCACGTTAGGCAAAACTTATCGGCATATTCCCATACTAGAAATATTCATTATTTCTTTAAATAACTATAAGGCTATATAAATAGTTGTAAAATTTGTGAGAGTTAACGAAGAGTATTTGTTTTTAAGAGAAACTTTTCGTATTTCTTATTATGAATATATGATATCTTTTATTTAATTCTATATAAGGGAGAATGTTTTTTCAAGTTCTTGGAAATGCGTACAAGTTACTAATTAAATGAAATGCGTACAAGTTGCTAATAAGCAAAGTACGTATAAGTTATCAATAATGGAAAATGCGTGCAAGTGGTCAATGTGTAAAATACGTGCAAGTTGTTAATGTGCAAAATACGTGCAAGTTGCCATTTTTATTTAATTTTTGTAATATACTCTAAATCTATAATAAATAGTAACTCAGCTTGACCTAAAATCTTGCTACAAAACAGGTTAAAAACATTTCTCGGCTTTTCAATATCAGTAACTAACGGCTACCGTGAACTACATCAAGTTTTAGGGGACATTAGCGAAGAAGCTTAACCTAGAAATTTGCATCGAAACAGGTTAAAAACATTTCTCGGGTACCGCGAACTACATCAAGTAAACTTTTAAGGGACATTAGCGAAGAAGCGTAACCTAGAAATTTGCATCGAAAAGGTTAAAAAAAATTTC